GTTGCTGTGTAAATAGAACAAGACAGTTACTGTGTAAATAGAACAAGACAGTTACCATGTAAATAGAACAAGACAGTTACTGTGTAAATAGAACAAGACAGTAACTGTGTAAATAGAACAAGACAGTTACTGTGTAAATAGAACAAGACAGAACATGGTCATTCTCCCCAAACACCACATAGACAACCAAACAACACAGTCACAATGATGATGTCATGTAACAAGCAAACCATGGTCATTCTCCCCAAACACCACATAGACAACCAAACAACACAGTCACAATGATGATGTCATGTAACAAGCAAACCATGGTCACTCTCCCTAAACACCACATAGACAACCAAACAACACAGTCACAATGATGATATCATGCAACAATCAAACCATGGTCATTCTCCCCAAACATCACAGTCACAATCAACCCATGGTCACTTTCCTCAACCATCACACAGTTGTCATGATGGTGTAACATCACAAATTAACCCATGAACTCTGTGAGAAGACCATACTTTCAACACCTAACCCCACAACACAGAAGAAACCACCCGTTAAAAATCACAATCAACCCATGGTCACTTTCCTCAACCATCACACAGTTGTCATGATGGTGTAACATCACAAATTAACCCGTGAACTCCGTGAGAAGACCATACTTTCAACACCTAACCCCACAACACAGAAGAAACCACCCGTTAAAAATTCCACTCCTACAGCTTTAAGTAATTAATGCTAGATCAGTCAAAGATAAAAAAATTACCTTCATAAGGATCAATCTCTACTTGAGTGTCAGGAGCAAACACTGGCACTTCTCCATTGATGACAACATCTATCAGTAACACACCTTCAGCATCCAATCCTCTTGCTACATGTGTCATATGTAACACTTCCCCTGTGAGAGAGAACCACTCATGCCATAAACATTTGATAAGAAAACTGAAATCTTTGTTAGATACTGAAAGCTAAAGTTAAACATGATTTATATAGATAATAGCCAATTAAGAAACTCTAAAAGTTCAACACTAATCCTACATAAAGAACGGCCAATGAAGAAGCCGTAAACAAAGTTAAGCATCAGCATTATACAGAAATCAGCCAATGTTAATAAGTTCAATGTCAGCATCGAGTAGAATTCTGAAGAAAGAAATTGTTGATAACACTGAAAATTCAACACTAATCCTACATAAAGAACGGCCAATGAAGAAGCCGTTAAGCATCAGCATTATACAGAAATCAGCCAATGTTAGTAAGTTCAATGTCAGCATCGAGTAGAATTCTATAATTAAATAGGGTTAATTGTACATTATAAGGAATCTAATAATTGTATGTCAACATTGGTCAATAAGCTCTGGACGAAATATTTATCTCCTATATGTCTGATTCATGGAAAATTTCTGACCATTATTTAATGACCAGTTTAACAAAACTATGATTTCTAACAGTTAATTTAATGTTTTAAAAAGCACTGCACTTCAATTATCACCAAACACTGAAAGTATCTGTTTTACCCAGAAAATTCCACTTACCAGTAGCAAAAGAAACCTGAGTCTCTTTACGGAAAAAACCATCGGTGAGGCTGAAGCCATTAACAGCCTGGCCAATTTCATAAGCTGTTGTCCAGTAGACGGGGGTGAGTAGTGGGACTAACGTTCGGAGCCAAGTAGCTGAAATGAAATAAAGAACAACTCTAGACAACATATCCCAGCTGAAAACTTAATTTACCAGTTATTAATCCTCTTGCCATGGGCATCGTTTTTTTTTGCATATTACGAGGTTTTTAATGAGTTATATTCAAAAATTAATTAAATTACTTTTTGCTTACGTTATACAAATTGGTGTAGCAAAAAATTGTATCTAATCATCCATATATTAATAGTATAAAATTTTAAGTTCTTAATTTTATAAGGCAATATAAAAACAAATCTTGAATTTTTCCTTAGTGTGAAAAATATGATATTTTTTTCTCTAGGCATTCCCTCTTTTTTAATTTATTCACCACCCCTCCAAGAAGAATGAAATTTAATGTAAATTACTCATTATAGTATCATCATCACTCAGACAAAGCATAATTTTTATTGCCTTCAGTCTTGTTTGGTTACAGAGCCATCAAGTAGAAAATCAGACACTTCTTGCTACACCCACCCGTCACATCCTCTCTTTCAGGATATATAAATAGTTCTCTATTATGTTTAATACTATATTAATTATAACCAACAGAAAGCCAAGATTTTCATCTATGAAATGGTGTTTTATATTACATTCTTTTCTTTACAGAGAACTGTAAATTTTTCTTTCAGTACAAGCTTCGTTCCCATGGGAAACATATCGACTAGCTTGGATGTATTTGTTACGCTTTTGTTGCTTAGTTACAAAGTAAAAAAAAATTGTGATAGTTAGAAGAAACTTTCTGATTTTTG